ACAGAGTTAACGTTTTGGGTCCGGTGACCCTTCGTCAGAACGCTTAACTCATTCAGTTTTGGCGGGCTAATAGCATAAGTTCGAATAAAATAATCTGCTTCCTTTCAGGTTTTTGGTATGATCTATTTTAGACATTAAGTGTATTGGAATTTTGGCATCTGAATAGAGTTACGTAGTGTTGAAAACTGGTTCACGAGCACCATCTGCTGGAGTTGTTCAGCTAGTAACTTGGGTTTAGCCTTTCCAATAAGAGTGCACATAATCATAAGGAAATTCCTCAGTAGATTTTCCCGACAGAATGCTGTAACCGATGGAAAGCTTATTTAAATGGTTCATCCACATTTTCCACTGAAGTTTCAATGGCCAACTGGGGGAAGATCAATTCAGAAAATTCTCAGCAAACACGTTAACCATAAGAAAACACCCAACATCATGTAAGGGCATGTGGTGAATGAGGGTGGGGGGTGTGATGGGGAGTTAGTGGAGGTGGGATTTGTATACTGAATGGAAAGTCAGGACAAATAACACAATACTATTCAAAGCTAGAGGTTCTGAGATGGCAATTAGAGCCTAGGAGAGGTTCAGTGAGAAGACGGATGAATATCCCAAGTGCAGGGATAATGAAGGTCTAGTCACAGATGATGCAGGAGGAGAAAGGAGGAAACATAAAATACTAAGAGAAGTGAGACACTCGGGCTAAAACACTGCAAAAGACCATGGCGGTTCAAATTTGTCACTAATATGTATTATTTCTAGACAAAAGACATTTTCGTCCGAAACACAAATGTTGCACAGAAGTGTACGTGCACACACCAGCACTCCTGCCAAGTGCGCGTACAAGATATTTGGAATGATTTGCCCATAATTTTGTCTTCACTTGTTCTCATTTCATGTTGCAATATTAACCCTATAACATTGAAATGTTAGAATGGTCTCAATTTCATCATCTGTAGTCCCCCGTACAAAACATCTAGTCAATGCAACAGATTTGGTCAGTCTTAGAATGGCAACAATCGCATTTTTAAACAATGTGAAAATAAGGTTGCAGTCTTGAGCGGCTAACAGAGTCACTGAGGGTGATTGTAACTTATGTTGATATCACCTGCTTATAATATGACAGGAATTAAAATGATCCCAGCATGTCTGAAAACAGGGAATAGTCCACTGTTGAGCCATACAATCACTTCACTCAGAAATGAATTAATACTTCAGATTAACAATATCTAAAATTGTATATAACGGGGCTTTGGCTTTTCTCAAAATGAAGCTAACCTAAATTCGCTTTATACTCACCTGTTAGAGAGGACACTGCCCAATATTCAGCTTTTATTTCCTTGGCAATTTTGATGGCATCTTTCTCTATCAAATTATACTGGGCAGCTGACTGTAAAGAACAAGGAGTGAAATATTGTTTAAGCAGTTTGAGCAAAACGTGTCTTAAATTCATTACTTCAGGATCTTCAGGCGAGTAGACTTAGCATTGAAGGGGGTCAGTTTTATCTTTCAGGGTGGAATACAGCACATTGAATGGTCAGACCAATCAGGAGATTTGGACACTTCTAAGCATTGGCTTTGATTAGCATATCCCTTTCCAACTTCCCATTCAATTGGCTGGGATACCTATGCCTAGCCGTCTGTACAACTGACAAATTCATAAAGCTACCGCGCCCTAGAGAACTAGAGGAATGCTTCCCACCTTCAGATGACTGGCCATGGAGTGTTCACGCGCACACGTTTGTGTGTGTGTGTGTGTGTGTGTGTGTGTGTGTGTGTGTGTGTGTGTGTGTGTGTGTGTGTGTGTGTGTGTGTGTGTGTAAATGTGAGGTAGTGAAGATTACTGCACATCCAAAATGAGAAGAATCTTTGTTTTTACACAAAAGAAGATAATAGAGCCACATAAAAGAGCAGTGGAAATGTAAAATTCTCTTCCCTTAACATTGTGATTCTATGTTAATTGATAGTTTGATGACTGAAATTGATTGATATTTCAAATAAACACAGAAAGTACTGGAAAACGCAGCAGTTCAGCAGAGGTGGGCAGAGAAACAGGGTCAATGTTTCGAGTTGAATATGACTGCTTCAGAAATTTCTTCGGCTCCAAAGCAGATGCAGTTCAACTGAAAACATTAACTCTTGTTTCTTTCTCCACAATTGTTGCCAGACTTGCTGAGATTTTTCTGATCTTTCTGTTTCAGGTTTCCAGAATCCGCAGTATTTTCCTTTAACTTGTAGTTAGTTGTTCTGTTACGGTATCAAGGAAAATGGCTGATAGGTTTTTAAATGAAGTGGAGGTACAGAGCAGACATGTTCAAAATGATTGACAGAAGAGGAGTCACAGAGTCTTAGAGTCATACAGCACAGAAACAGATTCTTCGATCTAACCAGTCCATGCCAACCATAATCTTAAACTAAATTAGTCTCACCTGCTCACACTTAGCCCATAATCCCTCCAAACATTTCTTATTCATGTACTTATCCAAATGGCTTTTAAATGTTGTAACTGTATTTGCATCCTTCACTTTCTTTGGAAGGAGCTGAAAGACTTCTGTTCCTGTGTTCTAAGGACATACAAAATCCTAACTTTCAAACTTTAATGTTTGGAACACAGGAAATAAAACTAATTATCTCTCTATTTAAATAAATAGCTAACTGGAGATATTTTCTACTTACGCTAAGGTCTTTCTTTGTCCCAACTAAAAACAACAGGACAGAGGTGGGGTCATTTTCCTTAAGGGCATCTCTCAACCATTGTCTGAAAAAAAAAGCACCAAAACAATTATTAAAATGATTAAAAAGATAAGAATGGCAACAGATAGATCTACAAATAAGCACACTACATCACTAATTTTGACCTTTTATTCTAAAAGCTAATTTGATATACTAAAATCTTTAGTTATCATGTTATACTACTTATTTCCATGTGTTTTTCTGTTAAACAAAATTCTACCAAAAAACTATTTAAATATCCTACACCTTTCAAGAACAAATGTCAAGGAGCAGAGAATGATGGTGAAACGAAAACATGTGTCAGATGTGACGCTGAATGTAACAATTAAAGGTCTATTGCCGCATGGTCAAATAGTGCTACTCCAAAAATGTAAGGTTCAAAACTAGGGATTTGAAATCCAAACATCAACCTGTACAATTGTTGTTTAGGGTGCATCTCCAGGGGATGTATATCACTCATGGAGACGCACACCAGATTACAGACAACCCTCTTGCCTTGGAGTCACTTAAGTATAGGAGCTGGAGTTTAGCGTCAGTATTGAAAGTTGCAGGTGGAGATGCATGTCGCTAAACCCTACAGTCCCCTCTTCCACTTAGGCATGGTTATGCTTTACTTGCATTTGCACAGGTTTAACACAAAATAAAAATTGCACTCCCACCCACTGGACATCTGTCTTTTAGACAGGCCCTGTATAAGTTCCAGATATACTTTGCTGAATGCACTTATCTGACACATGTTTACGTCCAAAAATGGGTGAGTGTACCCACCTCAACCAGAACTGCCTGCCAGGCAGCAGAGGTGGGGTCAGCAGCATAGCAGTAATGTTACTTGATTAGTAATTGAGAGATTTGAATTTAAATCCCAACAAGGCTGCTGGAGAAATTTAAATTCAATTGATAAAAAAGTCTGGATTAAATATTATTAATAATGATTATGAAATTACTGAGTCATTGCAAAAATCCACTGATGTCTAAGTTCACTAATGCCCTTTGGGGAGGAAATCTGTTGTGTTTACCTGGTCAGCCTACATGTGACTCCAGAAGCACTGTAGCAGACTGTTACATGCTCTCTAAAATGGCCCAGAAAGCCACTCAACTCAAGGATAATTAGAAATGCACAATAAATTCTGACCTTGCCAGTAATGCCCCATCCCAAGCCTGAATGAACAAAATGACGGAGTGTAGCATAGCTCTCAGTGCTTTCTGTTCCCATCTGCATTTTTAATGCCCTCTTTCACAATGTTAAAAGAAGCTGAGTACTTGTTTAAATCAAGGCAAGATTTAATTGCTATTTAGTGAGCTGAATGCACAAGAAGCATTGTAGCCTTTCACCAATTCACCTTACAAACCTGTGAGCTCTACCCATCAAGAAGGACAAGGCACAGAGTTGGAGATACCATGAGAACACCATCCTCTGCAAGTTTCTCTCCAAGCAACACGTCTGATTTGGAACTATATTGCCACCCCTTCCTCGCTGCCAGAATAAATCCCGCACCAGATGGAACTGAAACAGTTTAAGGAGCTGGTTCACCACCACCTTCTCATGGGCATTAGGGATGGAAAACATATTTTCAAGTAGCCACCAAATCACACACCTCATGAAAGAGCAACAAAAAGTACTGGTTCCGGCCCCCACCCACAACTCTTTCTCCGATATATCGATGATATCATCGGTGCTGCTTCCCTCTCTCATCAGAATTGGAAAAGTTCATCAATTTTGCTTCCAATTTCCATCCTGCCTTCACTTTCACTGATCTAACTCTGACTCCTTCCTTCCCTTCCTCGACAACCCTGTTTCCATTTCTGGGGATAGACTGGCCACTTAATATCCACTATAAACCCACTGACTCCCACAGCTTGCTGGATTATATGTCCTCATACCCTGCTTCCTGTAAAGACTCCATCCCATTCTCTCAGTTCCTCCATCTCTGTTGCATATGTTCAGATGAGGCCAATTCGAAGAAAGGAGCCTCCAAAATGTCCATCCTGTTCCTCAACTGAGGATTCCCCAGCACCGTTGTCGACAGGGCTCTCAACCAGGCCCAACCCATCTCCTGCACTTCTGCCTTCACCCCTTCTCTTCCCTCCTGCAGCAGTGATAGGCTTCCCCTCGTCCTTACCTACCATCCCACCAGCAACCACATCCAGAAGATCATCAGACGTCATTTCTGCCACCTCTAGCGAGATGCTACCACCAAACACGTTTTCCCTCCCCTCCCTTGTCAGCCTTCCCCAGGGACCGTTCCCTCCGGGACAACATGGTCTACTCTTCCTTCACTCCTAACACTCTCCCACAGCCCCACGGCCCCTTTCACCGCAACAGCTGACGGCATAACACCTGCCCATTTACCTCCTCCCTCCCCAGTATCCAAGAGCCCAAACATACCTTCCAGGTGAAGCAGCACCTTACATGTACTTCACACAATCTAGTCTAATACGTTCGCTGCTCACAATGTGGTCTCCTCTACACTGGGGAAATGAAGCCTAGACTGGGTGACTGCTTCGCAGAACATCTACGTTCTGCTCGCAGAAAAGACCCTGAGCTACGTGTTGCCTGCCACTTTAACACACCACCCTGCTCCCTGGCCAACATTTCTGTCTCAAGCTTGCTGCAGTGTTCCAGTGAAATTCAGCGCAAGCTGGAAGAACAATACCTCATTTTCCACTTGGGGACCCTGTAGTCCTCCCATCCCCATGCCCCCAAACCCACACACCAGGCCTTGTTATCACAAAGTCTGCCATTACACACTACTTATTGTTAGTCACTATTAGTCTCCATTAAGAGCTATTCAGTCTCCCAGCCAGATTGTTATCTACTCCTTTGTTTGTCCAACTGTTCTTCTCTCTCTTTGGGCTCTAACCCCACCTATCCTTTACTCCTTACACCCTCCTACCACTGTATTTTCTGCATATAAACCAACATTTTCTGAGCTACTATCAGTTCTAAGGAAGGGTCACCAGACCTAAAACGTTAACTCTGATTTCTGTTCACAGATGCTGCCAGACCTGTTGAGCTTTTCCAGCAACTTCTGTTTTTGTTTCTGGGTTGAAGAAGACCAGGTTTGCAAATACAGCCATTCTGCACGTTTCAAAAGCACATGGACACATATACAGGAAATCTGGTGTTTCGGGTTGGGACCCTTCTTCAATGACCCGAAACGTCAGCTTTCCTGCTCCTCTGATGCTGCCTGGCCTGCTGTGTTCCTGCAGCTCCACACTGTGTTATCTCTGACTTCAGCATTGGCAGTTTTTACTATCTCTGGACAAATACACAGCAGAATTATGTGGCAGGTATGAAATGGGAGACACAATCTGCCCTTGGTTTAACCTACCACCAATCAGGGCCATCCTGTTTGCTTTCTTGAGCCCAACAATGGATAAATCTAGTAATCAGCTGCATAAAAATAAAGCCCTGATAGCTCAAATAACTTTGGTGCAACTGTCACCTTTGAAACAAAGTTGAGAGCAGGAGCGGACTTGATTATTGTGTGAATAATCCATTATTAATGACGTAAGAATGAATTATTCCCTCTTTCCTTCTTTTCCCTGCTTTAATATTTACTATTGTCCCTTTTCTTTGAGGGGAAACTCCTGTTCAATTGAAAAAAAAACAGAACTTGCAATTATGAAGAGTTCTGTGCAAGTCCAGGGTGTTCCAAAGGACCTTACAGCCAAGTAGATACTTTTGAAGTGAGTTGACATCTACTACAGTCAATATTTCTCTTCCTCCCCCTGAACTTCTGGTGCGTTGTATCAGCCTGATAGTCTGGTAGAGGTTGGGAAATCAAGAATGTCTTCCTTAGCACAGTTAAGTAAGCCATGATCATCACAAATCCAGGTATGAAAGGAAAAGGTAAGAAAATTTTTGAAAGCATAAGCAAGAATTATTCAAAGACATCTCTGTGAATTCAAGGATAAAGCAAAGTCTTCATTTTGTTACTTACTTTACGTGATCCAATGATGCTACGTCATTGACATCAAATACAATTATTATCGCTGAAAAAGAGATTGCATTTCGATTATTATTTTTATGTTACAGGAAATGGAATAGTTAGCAAAAAAATGTTCAAATAATCTCAAAGAAAATCATTTAAAGCCTCAGGTGGGATCTGAAAAAAATAATCTTCCTAATTGTCAAATGTTTCAATTTCTGTTCCAAGCTTAAGGCTTTCTCACATCGTTCACTAATTAGCAAAACTGACCTGTCATGATGGTCGGCCCTTGTTAAAACAATATTCCAGGATAACGTTTTTATGGATGTCATCAGTCTTCCACAGTATGGTGAGAATTAGGTTCATAGTATCATCAAATCCCTACATTCGGCCCACTGAGTCTGCACTGACCCGCTAAAGAGTATCCCAACCAGACCCACCGCACTCCTCCCTTACCCCATATGTGGTTTTTACTATAGCTAATCCACTTAGTCTGCACAAACCTGGACACAACTGGGGCAATTTAGCATGGCCATTCCAATAACCTGCACGTTGTTGGACTGTGGGAAGAAACAGGAGCACCTGGAGAAAACCCATGCAGACGTGGGGAGGACGTGCAAACTTCACACAGACAGTCACCCAAGGTTGGACTCGAACCCAGGTCCACCCAGCCACTGTGCCACCATGGATCGCCCTGCTATTATAACACCATTCCTGATATTAGGTTCATAGTGAATTGCCCTGCCATTGTACACCGCTCCTGATTTACTCTTCAATACTTCAAGTGGATAACCCCACCATCAGCAGAGAAAATTATTTCAGACGCAATTCTCTAGTTCTTCCAACTGGAGATCTGTCAGGTTTCCATCTTACTCCCAATTAGTATTTCCAGTAGATACAGGCTTCCAAGGATGATGTTTCTTTCTTGTAACTGGAGAGCCCCAGCAGGATACATTCTAGTTAAGAATAAACAACGGGGAAACTTCAAATTGTGTCAGACACTTGTCCTTCCCTCTGGAAGAGGTGTGATGTACGACAGAGAAACCGCATGCTGCTTTATTGCCAGTGAATACACGTACAAATATAAAATGTCCAACTTCAGTCCCAGCTTAAGCCCAGATAACAACACCTGGAAAAGTTTTTAGCTTAATCCACCTACCACTTCACTGCTTTAATGGAGAGACATCAACTGAGATTTTGTAACCTCGTCCCACCAACAAAGGCAGCATCAACCTATCCCCTGATGTAGTGGGATGGATTTTACAGGGTGCTGGGGAGACAGTGTTAAGGTCACCACCTCTCATAGTGGTAGAAAAGGCTACACTGCAGCAATGACACAACAGGGTCAGCACTAACAGGGAGATTGGTACTTAGGACTTGAGGATCAAATGATTGGCCAACGGTCGAATAGTCCGAGCAGAACAAAAATTCAACAGTAGCTGCTAGGATTACAAGGGAGTTGCTGGAAGATCTTCGAGGTTTTAGGCCAGGAAGGAATTAAGAGCCTGAGCAAAGTGGAGGAGGTGGGGTGCAGAGGTGTGGGAGGGGGTGTTTGCACCCAATGTGCCAGGGGACACTCCATGGAGGTACCCCTTCTTTAACATTTTGTACACTGAAGTGGGGTAGAAAGTTGACCACTTGCTGCTTACTTTCCCCTGCACACCATATTATAGCGACAGAGGTGAAAAGAGACAATGATATGGCCTTTAATTGGGAACTCACAGGCCTCAATAGGCCCAAGGACAGGCAGGCTGGCTGAAGCTTTACCTTCAGGGCTCGGCAAGAAGGTGGTCATCTAGTCTTCTCACCTTCAAATACAGCAGCGCAGTGTGCATGTGGGATGGGGGTGGGGGTGTGCATGGCATCTAACTCACCCCAAAATGTCCCTCTGGCTTCACAATCACTTGAGTTGAGCTTGTAACTGGACACATGACTGTAAATCTGTTCCTGACCACAGGATGGTGCTGCATGTTTTGTTTTCACTAAGAATTCAGTCTGTACAATTGTACTGCACCCCACTTTGCACCAATATTACAGCACGTTCATGACCAATAGATGTCTCAAAGCACTTTAATGCAGGAAGTTTAGCACGATTCTTAGACTGTGATACAACAGTGTTGCTGATAACAGACATATTGACAGCATAACTCTTGAGGAGGGTTCAAGACCGTTGATACTGGTCCAATTGGATCAGAGAATATCAAGGACTCAGTGTACTTGGAAAGAAACCCAATCTCCCTCAGTGCTCACTCTCCTGTTTCCTAGTTGAGCAATGCCCCAGTTTTAAAATTCTCATCTTTGCTTTCAAATTCCTCCATGGCCTCATCTCTCCCTATCTCTGTAACCTCCTCTTCCCTCACCATTTTCCAAAGTGCATACATTCCTCCAGTTCTGCACCCCCAGTTTTAAATTGCTCTACCATTGGTGGCCAGATCTTTAGTTGACAGGCTCCAAGCTTAGGAATTCTCTCTTTATACCCCTCATCTTTAAAGATATTCCTTAAAATCTCCTGCTTTGATCAATTTTCTGTCAGCAGCCCTAATATCTCATGATGTTTTGGTGTCACATTTTCTTTGATAACGCTCCAGTGAAACACTCTCGAATTTTTTTTGCTATGGTAAAGGCACTATATAAATGCCAGTGATAACAAGGTGTAGAGCTGGATGAACACAGCAGGCCAAGCAGCATCAGAGGAGCAGGAATGCTGACGTTTCGGGTCTGGACCCTTCTTCAGAAACGTCAGCCTTGTTATCTCAGATTCTCCAGCATCGGCAGTTCCTACCATCTCTGATATAAATGCCAGTGTTGTGGTTGTGAGTCGCCCAGTCACATTATGACTGTGAGACATGAATATAGTGGACTATGTTAGCTTGTGAATCTGCTCTGGGTTCGCCTGTGCTTACTCTCGAGAGTGGTATGGGCGTGTGGAGGGGTTAGTGTCTCTTCAGTCCTGCAGGAAGAATGTTTCAGAGCTCCGAAATTCCTGTTATACATAACAACTTTCATGCTGACAGATGGCCCAGAAGATGTCCTGTTATAGGGAAGATATTATTAAGCTGGAAAGGGTTAAGAAGAGATTTACCAAGATGTTACCAGGTATGGAAGGTTTGAGTAATAAAGAAAGGCTGGATAGGCTGGAACTTCTTTCACTGGAGCGTAGGAGGTTCAGAGGTGATCTTATAAAGATTTGTAAAATCATGAGGGGTATAGATAGGGTTAATGATAGGTGTCTTTTCCCTAGGTTGGGGGATTTCAAGACTGGGGTGCATATTTGTAAGTGTGAGGAGACATTTAAAAGACATGAGGGGCAAATTTTTTAAACAATGGGTGGTTTGCATGTGGAATGAGCTTCCTGACGAAGTGGTGGATGTGGGTACAGTTACAACATTTAAAAGACACTTAGGTAAGTACATGAAGAGGAAAGATTTGGAGGGATATGGGCCAGGAGCAGGCAGGTGGGACTAGTTTAGTTTGGGATTATGTTCGGCATGGACTGGTTGGACTGAGGGGTCTGTTTCCATGCTGTATGACTCTCTAACTCTACGTTTTGAGGATATATTATTTGTGAGGTGTATTTCACGTCACCTTGAATAGGAATAGAAGACTAACAATGAGAATGTGAAGTGGGAGAGGGATTGCTTTCCATTCGGTAGGCCTGGAATTCCAAGATGTGCAGATTCTCTATTCTCTTACCTCAGATGGCTCAACGTAGAACAAAGTTAGATTATGTACAATAATAAAAATTTTTGCATTTATGTAGCCTTTAGCCATGTTGAAATGTCTCAAGATGCTTCACGTAATGAATTATTTACAAGTGCAGCGACTAGCATCAAACAGGCAGATTTGAAGCTTTTCTGCAATATCAAACAAGCAGCAAATGAAATTAATGGTTTGCTGTGGTGACATTAGATAGTAAGCAGGAGAACTTGCTGTTCCACTTCAAATTGTGCTATTAGATCTTTTTTGTTTGCTCAGGTCACAGCTAATGTCTCATCAGAAGACAGTAGTTCATCAAAACAGTACTCCCTCACTGCTGTTTATATGCTCTCATTGACAGGTTGGGGGGTGAGGGCAGAAAGAATTTGGACCTACAATGTTTTGGCCGAGAGACAATGACTGAGCCAATCTGATAAAGCATTTTTGTTACAACGTAGTTAGAAAAAACTATACTGTTGAAAAATGAAACTTATACCTTGTGCACCTCTGTAGTACGTGGATGCGATACACTTGAATCTTTCTTGTCCTGCCGTGTCCCACCTATTAGAAAACATGTCCAGAATTTAGAATGTATTTCAGCATTATTATAATTTATAATGTACAATTTACCTGCATCCAAGTTTACCTTCAGAAATCTTATGAAAGCAAGACAAAGAGCAATTGTACAGTGCGTACAACTAAAGGAGAAGGTACACAGCACTCAGTATTGTGATGCTGACATACAATGTGCCACAGTTTTCTTTACCAGGGGCATATCTTTGGCCTACTGAGTGGCAGCATACATGGTGCTCCAGAGCTTCCCCTTTGGTTTTACTGCATGCTGGATGATCTCCTGAAGGTATCTGGGACTGACACCATTTTACAAACACATGTGCCAGCAGATATGAATGTGGGTGGGGCATACAATATCCAGCTGCTGTCCTTCCCACCACCTACCCACATGCCCGTAACCTGTATTAAATTATTTTGGGCCTACTGCGCTAGTTCATGGCCACTTAAGGTCTTCATGCTGCTGTCAGTAGTATTTCAACCGCAGCAGGAGGCAGGCCGGACCATGTGGGAAGTCCAGCAGTTTTAGCTACACAGGGTGGTGTCAGACAAGTTCAAGGTGATAGGTAGGGTACCTCTTCTGGGTTCATTGGAGGTACCTGTCAAAAATCATCCCCCTTGCTAAATTGTAATATTGAGTCCCTGTTGTAGCCACTGCTCCTGGCTGGCTCTGCCAGGAAGGTAGAACTATTGGCCATTGATTGCCTGGCAGCTCTCAAAGGCGGGGCCTTCCTCCTGACAAAAGGGATGGAAGGGTCGCCTGAAAGTAATTAACACCACTTCCAGGGTGACATTGCTGAGGGACAACCATCAGACTTGGAAGTGCAACCTCCCCAACTCCCTCAATCACTCAGCACCAGGAGGATAAGGAACACAGCATCCCATAAAATCCAGTCCCATTTACATACCTGACCCAGGTCCCTGGAGCAGATTTGAGGGAATAAATATTTTCTTAAAATTATGCTTCTATTTCTAGGAACAAAGTCTCTTAACACAATATCTCTCGCTTTCTTCCATATCAAGAATTTCTCGCATCTTTCACGCCCCTCCTAGGAGTCCTGCTTTCTTTCAATTTCCACCCATAACATGATCTCCCTTCCCCCATGTGAACAGAGACTGTCTCTTTTTAGTTATTCTTGATGTCCTCATAGGGTTAGTATACTCAAAACCCTCATAACAGCTCAGCTTCATTATACAGATTGGACCTAGCAAATACCAGGGGCAGAGTTCAAATATTTCCAGGAGATGGGACCTTTTCTGGGGCCTGGCTCACATGGATCTGAGGTGCCCTGACAGGAGATTTGCTGTAAGAAATAGCCAATTAAGAGGCTGCCTCTGTGGTCGATATCCAATCGAGGTTGGTGGCTGCGTTTCTCAGGCGGAAGTGTGGGAAATCGCGCAGGTAATTCCAATGGAAGCCAACAGTTCCCACTAAGAGACAGGGCCAGACAGAGGCATTGACAGGGAAGTTCCTTCATACGCTGAATTTGAACCTTTTAAATGGAGGCTGCCTTATAGAACACTGCTCAGAAGATTGCCTGGCACTCTGTTTGATTGTTCTAAACAGCACATAATTATTGTAGACTGGGATTTGGTTAGCTCAGTTGGCTGATGCAAAGGTGACACCAACAGCACAGCTTCAATTCCTGCACTAGCTAAGGTTACCACGAAGGATTCTCCTTCTCAACCTCTTCCCCTCACCTGAGGTGTGGAGACCCTCAGGTGAAACCACCACTAGTTGCCTCTCTCTCTCTCTCTCTCTCTAATGAGAGAGCAGCCCTATTGTCCAGTAGGACTATGGCAGCTTTACTTTCATTTTTATTTGGAGATGGCTATTGGGCAGGGATCGGCTGCTATTTTTGGAATCAGAAGTCAGAGTCCATTCACTGCAAGCCTAAAGTGCAGCTTCTCACACCTCCCTCCAAATTCACCCCTCCGTCTGGTATGACTCCACCCCATGACCAGTTGAAATGGCAGGAACCTAGACTGTTAAAACCCAGACCTGAACACAAAGCTATAAAAAAAAAAAAACACGATTCCAGAAACATTGCCAATTCTTGCCCCAACTTGTACTGTAGGATTGGACAAGACTTATTTAATATCAGGTCTTGAAACTCTAGGAACATTCTCATGCAATATTACAATTTAGACAAACTCATTTACTCCACAACTTCAGATAAAAGCTTTCTTTTGCTTTTGCTAAAGTTCTGTTCTATACAGAAAAGACACTAGCACTCCCCAGTCCATCACTCAAGTGGCGTTTACACATCTGTAGTTCAGGCAGAATGCCAATCTCAAGTGCATCACCAATGCACCCAATCCTGACTTCCTGGGCACTTCCAGCAGGGTTGTTAGAGGCTAATTACTGAGAACTGATCCATCATTACCAAATACCACCCAGACATCACTGAATATCAATTAGAGGTCGATCAGAGATCATTGACTACCACTCAGGGATTACTGAAGGCTAGTTGCTGAATATTAGAGTAACCTTCTATTGATTGCAATCTCAATCAGGATCACTAAGTGCTACCAATATAGATTCATGAATACTGCCTTGGGTCACTGCGTACCAATCAGTATTAGGAATTCAGACCACCTAAACAAAAAAAAAACCGAAGAAGTGCAGATGCTGGAAATCAGAAACAAAAAAAAGCAGAACGTGCTGGAAAAACTCAATAGGTCTGGTAACGTTTGTGGAAAGAAAGCAGAGTTAATGTTTTAGTCCAGTGACCCTTTGTCAGAACACAGCTCAGCCCACAGAACGACAGCAGGTCCAAGTGCGTTTACGTGGTGTTGTGGTAATATTTAGACAAGCAATTATAATCCAAAGGCCTATGCTGATTACTCTCTTTACTGATCTATTGAACCTTCAACATAATCACTGTTTGCTCCTGCCAGACTGAGGTGGAAATATAGCATGACAAATAAACAAATCATTTTACCTCCCCTGCCTTTCTGAAGAGAGGCTGGATACAGTGTGATCTGCAACCTTCCCCTCAACTCATTGCTTGCTGTCAATGCCTTCTGTCTGGACATGGAGTGCATTTGCATATCACCGCACTCCAATTGGTATAACCTGCAGAAGCATCTGAGACACAGCAGCTGAATCCATCTAGTTCGAGGATGCACTAATGGAGCATTCAAGGTGCTGCAAAAAGGAACGCATGTTTCCTGGGCCTGGACTTTACCATTATAATTCAGGGTAAAATGATGTCAAACTTCACCTGATGGCACTGGTTTGGCAATAAAACATCACTGTGTCACTCACAGATACTATGGAAGATAAATAAAGCTGCTGAGCTGACTAAAGAGGCAGCCATGTGAAAATATCTTCAGTATTTCATTGCCTGTTGTATTTCTAGGCTTTGTGATGGGAATAGAATTGGAAGTAGTTTACAGCAGCAATGGCAAGGCAACACAAGGAGAGAGAAGAAGACCCTGTCACTGGCACCACCTTTGAATTTAACAGCAGGCTCTCTGCTGGCGAAGGTACCAACATCTGTGTTTTTGGACTTCATTCATTAGCTCTTTTCAGCCTGCCGTAAGAAACAAGAAAAGAGATTGAAACAACGGAGGGGAAGACTTTTAAATGGGTAGCCATGATCGCTTTCCTGATCACCATACAATCCCTCCACTGTATGACCTCCTAACGTAGGCTCCAGATTGCATGTGGGAATCCCCTTCTCACATCTATAACTGGTTACCTCCCTGCTGAGCAACAGACATCAGCCATTCATCGGCCGATTGGCCTAACTGAATGGCGAGATCACACAGACCATTCACTTTCTCATTCCTCCATCCTCGACCTGCTGAAAAGCATAAACTCCATGCCCTAAATTACTAAAAAAGGCCATTCAGCCCAGGGCCTACTCTTTGGAAGAGCTAACCAATTAGCCTCATTCTGTTGCTCCTTCCCCCGATGCCTGCAAGGATTTCCTTTTCAAGTGTTTACTGAATCGCTGTCTGAAAGTTGCTATTGGATCCCCTTCCACCATCCTTTCGAGGAGTGTGTTAAAGCTTATAACTTTCAGCTGCGTGAAAAATTGCTTCCCAATCTCCCCGTTGGTTCTTTCGGTACTTACCTTAAATCTGGTTACTGACTCTTCTCCCCCAGCAGAAATAGCTTCTCCCCATATACTCTACCAAAGCCCATCAGAACCTTGGACACTTCTATTAAATGTCCTCTTGACATGCTCCGCTCTAGCTATCACAGCTTCATCTCCGAAAATCTACTCTGCATCCTCTTCAGTTCACTGATATTCTTCCTAAAGTATGTTGCCCAGATTTGGATACAGGGCTCCAACTAAGGTCTAATCAGTAACTTCTAAAGATTCTATGTAGCTTCTTTGCTCTTGTACAATACTTCTGTTCATAAAGCCAACAATTCCGTATGCCTCCTAATGTCTTATCAATTTTTCCCGCCTCCTTCAAAGGTTTGTCTAAGTTCACTCCCCTGTGCCTATGTCTAACATCCCCTTTAAAATAGACCATTTTGTTTTTATTACCCCTCCTCATTCTTTCAACAAAAGCTCAGTACTTAACGCTGCTCTGCATTAAGTTTCATTTGCCACAATCTCCCTTATTTCACCATTCTACCTCTGCTCTCCAAGCATAACAATTATATTTGTAAATATTACAAAATCCACAAATTGTGAGACCAATTCAAATACTTTCCAGCAATCAAATCAGATGCAGCTCAATGTTGGCAATTGGCTTCTCCAGCCTCATACCTACAGTTGCAAACTGAAGGGAACTCCCAATACTTCAAACCGCTCCATCTCAAAATCCACCCCGATAGTAGCTTTGTAATTCTTGTCAAATGTGTCCTTGCAGAATCTGAATGGCAAATCGAGATACAGAGGTTTATGAAACATATGTGATCTCATACAGCAACTGTTTATAAAAGCTGAAAAATGCAGCAGGGTCTCTCTCTCTCTCTCTCTCTCTCTCTCAGACAAGACTCTTTTGTTATTGTTAGTAACATTTCATTTTATGTAACTAGGCTTAAGTCCATTTTAGGTTGTACTTACCGATTGATTAAGCATGTTTTTCCAACTGACAAGTCTCCAACTACAATAATCTTGGAAATCTTCAACCTAAAATTAAAATGGATTGATTTTACATATCTCTTAAAAATGATGGAAAAGGACACTTTTTCATTTATTTCATATTTGCCAAATATAATATTTCCCCTCGCTCTTTTTGGAAGGCTGCTAATATTTGAAATAAACTGTTCACCACATTCATAAGATATTTCCTTGTCTGCTAGTTAAGTCTGATCCATTTCAAGTAAAGAGTTAATCTCCCCACAAAATTAGCAAGCGCAAATATTTCACAACAACAGATTCATTAATCAGACAAAAGATTTCAATCTGATTTTGCTGTCCACTGGTCTGACCCATAGAAACATAAAAAATAGGAGCAAGAGTGGCCATTCAGTCCTTCATGCCTGGTCTACCATTCAATAAGGCTAGGGCAGTTCATCCAACTCACCATCATCCCACTTTCTCCCCATACTTTGATCGCTTCACCCCTAAAAACTGTATCTAACTCCTTCTTGAAAACATTCAAAGTTTTGTCATTGATGACTTTCTATCGCAGTAATCCATCGTGTGGAGCTGGAGGAACACAGCAGGCCAGGCAGCATCAGAGGAGCAGGAAAGTTGACGTTTCGGGTCGGGGCCCTCCTTCAGAAATAGGGAGGGGGAAGCGAGCTGGGAAATAAATATATAGAGAGAGAGGAGGGGTGGGGCTGGGGAAGGTAGGGGGGATGGTGATAGGTGAGTGTACGTAGGGAGTGGTGGGGATTTAACAGTGGGATGGGTGGGACGGATAGGTGGGAGAGAAGATGGACAGGTTGTGTCAGGTCAAGGAGGCGGGGATGAGAGGGAGGGTTGGACATGGGATGAGGCCGGGGTTGGGGAGATTTTAAAACTGGCGAATCCCATGTTTAGGCCATCAGGCTGTAGGCTCCCGAGGCGGAATAAATGTCTACTTCCTTTTGCCAAGATTTATACTTCAATCATCACCAATACTGTATTCATTCACTAAAAGTTGGGAAAGATCTTACCCCCAACCCAAAGTAAATTGTTTAGATATTTTCTAATCAACTTGCTCAGACATCTTATGATTCACCTCTGGACCAATTAGGTGTTGTATCCAGTCCTCATGGCTCAGAGACGGCGTCCTTACAAAAAATTGTTTATTTCTGTTTCATTTGTTCATGGGATAACCCATTCTTAATTGTTAAGGGTCAACCACATTACTGTCACGTGTAACAAAAACCAAGATGTCAGACTGCGCAATAATTAACAATGGTCAACATTAGTTTTTAATTCCAGACCGTATTACCAAGAGCCTCTACAAATAATTGCTTATTTATTTTTTAATCAACCTGTTCAGACATATTTTTACACACCTCTGGAGCAGGTGGGACTTCAACCAGGAAATTATTAGCCCAGCATCAGGGACACTACCGCTGCACCAATGCAGTGCCCTAAGTCTGCTTTATGACATTTTCCGAATCAACCTGTTCAGAGATGTTATTACACACCTTTGGAGCAGGTGGAATTTGAACCCAGGCCTCCCAGCTCAACGGCAGGGATACTACAACAGCACCACAAAAACCCTTCAACTAATTGCTTCAATTTTTCTAACAAACATGTTAAGAGGTGTTATTGCATACCCTTAGAGCAGGTGGTACTAAACCTCGGCCTCCTGGTCCATTGGTTGGGACCCTACCACTGCGCCATAAGAAGGCCCCATGAAATAACTGCTTATTATTGAGTGCTTAATTGTATTCAGGTGGTGGGCATTTACTAGGAGTTTGCCTGTGCTCAGACACCCTACCTCTGGGCAGGAGGCCTGGGTACAAGTCCCACTTGCTGTAGTGTATACAGTAACATCTCTGAACAAGTTGATTATGAAAATACCTGTGCTCATCCATATCAGATCAGACTGAAAACTGTGCTGTTGGATCACAGGCACATGATATGGAAGGAGCATCTCTGTAAATAAAAACTTATCAAAATGTATAAAGACTAGTGTCCATCTGTATCTTTCATGACCTGACTATATAAATCATAACACCCAATGCTTTTATTTATTCACAACAGCCTGCAGTTCCTGTGTTAGTGCATCAGTACAGGCATTTCTGCTATAACACGTGTTTTGTTAATGCAAATTGGCTGTAATGTGACTGATGAGTAGTGGACACTGTTCGGATAATGCAAACTTTCTGCTGTACAGGTATAGCAATTTTCTATACAGTGATTTCGCTATAATGCGATTTTCTATAGCACGAGGTCATGTAAGAACACAACTATCGTGTTAAAGGAGAACTACCTGTATTCTAATTAATAAAAAGTCACACAAAGTATCTTGGACCTGGTAAAATAAATGTAAACTAAAAACAAAACAAAACTAAAAGCATTTGATTGTCTGTCTCTGCAATTTCAGGTATCTTTGACCAGTTTGCTAGAATTTTCCATAGAGGAGCAAACAGCTCTCAACACCTATTGCAAATTGCATAAATATGCGGTGAATCATTGTTAGAAACTAGCCACAAACAGCTCAACAAAAATACGGTTTGATACCAAATTCCACTGTGTTAAATTACCTCATCTGGAGGGGTCATAGGAATAGATGGTTTGGGAAATAGAAAAATTCACACTGCTGTGATAAACAGTGCTTTTCTGGAACTGACACAAATTGAAGGAGTTTTGCTAGGCATCTGGAAGGTTTTGGATTTGATCTGGAAGCATTTAATGCTGGCTCCATGTGTGTTGACAAGAGCGGGAGTCCATGAATAATAAGCACTGCCTGATGATTCACTCACACAGGGTTATTCAAACTGGTCAGAAAGAATGTTTTTCTAAGCAAGAGGGGAAATGCAGAAAAGGGTAAAGACTTCAGACAATTTCCTTGACAACTGAAAATAAATACTGGATATAGTAACTGCCATGGTATCATCACGAGGATCTTCTTCTTTCAATACTTTTGACAAATCATGAAAGTTTGCTGTGAAACCGTCTTTTCAGACTAGAAAGGCTGAACAGGTAAAAACTACGTAAATTAATTTGCATGAGACAGAGTGACCACAGGCATCCTCATTTCATTGCTTTCTGATTCGAAGCCTAAAGTGATCTTTCTATCGCGTGAGATCTGTGGTAGCTGCACAGGAATCTTATAAACTGGTCTCAGACAACCAGTTGTAACCCAAATGTATATTTCTGTTGGCCTCAGCAATACTCAGCATGCTTGCTTTCAGTGTATAATTAGTAGTGTGAGACTCACAGGTCAGAAAGAAAGGTGCAGTGGTTTTTGACTAGGTACGTCCTGAGCAGCTCCAGGACGCAGGACTCTGTGTTCTACGGTCTGTTCCCCTGGATGCACACCGAGGCAAACATTGACTGCGCCTGGAGGACTATCAACTCGGTGAAAGATGCTCTTTGGTCTTCCTGAAACTTGTTGGTCTTCCAGATCAAGGAGTTGACCTTGACTGAGTGTTGCAGACTGGCACATTCCAAGATCCAGGGATCGTGCTGAGGGATGCACTAGAGCGTGGGCAGCTGCTGCCAAGGCACAGTGAGGAAAGACCACTTCTAAGGTCTTTCTGCAGAAGGAAATGGGGGTCCTGGTGCCCCAATGTATGTAAATATAGTGTTGTATTTGTAAGAGAGGTCTTTGATTTTTTGGATAGAGTCAAACTCCTAGGATTGTTTCCTTGATATGCTACTGTACAGAACAGAACTGTGTTTGCGACTATGTATATATACACAAAGGTGTTTTTTATGAATAAAGTATATTTTATAATAAAAGCAACCAACAACAACAGTAGGGTCCTTAACATAAATCCATTACTTCTGTTTATTTTTGAAAAGCAACATGATTTTGCCCCTTCAGTTTTAGCCTTTGCTCAATGAGTCAGCAGCTCCCAAGCTTACATTAATATGGCTAGTTACCTAGCTACACCTAATGTAGCACATTACAGTTTGCCATCAATAATAATGTGCGAGCACAGAGCTATCTTAGCAACCAAGCATTATTCAAACTTCGACAGCATAATGGAAGATCCTTAATATTAAGCAAATAGACACAGTCTATAAAATTCAAACTCATTTTTCCACAAGTATAAATTTGATAAAACCTTCTTGCATATAGCACACTATTTTTGGGTTTTGTGAAATAATAACATAATTTTCATTTCCTAATTAATAATAACTAACTGTAATTTTATCCATAATGATGTGATTAACATATAGATTGTAAACCTTCTCTGAAATTCAAACACTGTTGAGTAAATGTGTTGTGACTAGCAGGCTAACGCAAGCATGTATTAATTGATACAGCTCACACAGTGTTAACTAATTGAGATTTGTCCTATATATGTGAAAAGAGATTTGTGTTATATTCTAACAGCGACTTACATTTCTACTGTACCTTGAATGTAATACATAATCCAAAGGTACTTCAAAGGAGGCTTATAAAGCTAAATTAGCCACTGATCTGTAGAACAAAGTTTGAGGCAATTAATCCAAAGCTTGGTCAAAGGAACAGTATTTAGAGATAGAGAGGCAGAGAACTTGCAGGTAGTTATGTTCAAATGCATCTGCTCCTTTTGTCCTTCCAGGTGGTGAAGTCATAGGCTTGGAAGGTACTGTCAAAGCAGCCTTGCTGAGTTGCTGTAATGCAAACTACAGACGGTACACAATGCTGCCACTGTACACTAGTGGTGGAGACAGTGAATGTTGAAGGTGGTCAATGTGGTGCCAATCAAAAAGGCTACTGTGTCCTGGAAGGTGTTAACCTTCTTGAGTGTTGTTAGAGTTGAAGTCATCTTGGCAGATGAAGAGTATTTCATCACACACCTGGCTTGTGCTTTGTAGATGGTAGACAGGCTTTGTGTCAGGAGGTAAGTTACTCAGTGCAGAATTCCCAACTTCTGACCTCCTGTTACAGCCACAGTATTTATTTGACTCATCTAATGCAATTTCTAATCAATGGTAAGTCCCCAAGATGTTGATAGCGTGATATTCCATGATGGTGATGTCATTGAACATCAAGGAAAGATAGATGAATTTTCCCTTCTTAGAGATGGTTATTGATTGCCACTTGCAAGGCATGAAAGCCTGAATGCTTTTCAGCTCTTGTTGCCTGTGGTCAGAGACTTCTTTGGTATCTGACGTGTGCAATCATCTGTGAATAGCCCTACTCTGACCTCATGATGAAGAAAAGGTCATTGATGAAGCAGCTGAAGACGGTTTGGACTGGGACAGTACTCTGAGGAACTCCTACAGTGATGTTCAGGACAGAAATGATTGACTTCCGACAACCACAAACCATCTTTCTTTGTGCTAGGTCTAACTCCAATTTGTGGGAAATTTTCTCCCCAATTCCCATTGGCTCCTGGTTTCGCTAAGGCTCCTTGATGGCACACTCAGTCAAATGTTACCTTGATGTCAAGGGCAGTCACTTTCATCTCACCTCTGCAGTTCAGCTTTTATGTCCACATTTGGATCAAGACTGTAATAAGGTCAGTAGCTGAGTGACCCTGGCAGAACCCAACCTGAAAGTCAATGAGCAGGGTATTACTGAGTAAGTGCTGCTTGATAGCACTGCCGATGACACTTTCCATCACTTTGCTGACAATCAAGAGTCAACTGATTGGCTGGTGGGGGCTTGTCCTGGTGCAGGCATGTTTTGTAGTTTAGACTTGAACTTGGTTCATAACTTCACTACTCTCTGGGGTGGAGAATTCCAAACGTTTATGGCCGTCTGCAAAAAATTCCTTTGCATCTATTCTTAATGAGTGTCCCCTGATTTGAGATTCCCCTACTAACAGAAATACCCTCTCAACATTTATCCTTGTTAGGTTTCCTCAGAATCTTGTATGCTTCATTGTATGCTTATAGTTATTCCTTGTATGTTTATAGTTCCCCTGGCAACTAAGCATTTCTCAGGCACATTAAACAGAAAATTCAACCCCTAAACTTCCTGCAGATTTTACAACCCAAGTAGCCAGACAAACTACCATGAAAGGGTATACAGTAGGAGAAAGGTCACAGATGTTTATGAAGCATTGCTGTTATCATCTCTTTGGAATCAACTCTTGAAGAGAGGTAATCTCTTCACTTCATTTTCTCCTTATTTGCCATCTCTCCCCTCCCTCTTTTTATTGCCGGTCATTTTCATCTGTCCATTTCTCCTCCATCTCGTGCTCTTCATTATCTCTTTTGCTTTCTTGCTATCTCATTATCCTATCTTCTTTTCCCTCTCCCTCCCTTTCATTCACTCCTTCATGGCTCCCTTTCTCCTCTTCCCTCTTGCCAACTTCATTCTCCCATCCTCAGTCCTTCACTATCTTCTCTCTCCCTTCCCTCTTTCCTTTATTGCTCACACTCTTCCTTGCCTCTCTCTGTCATTGTCTTCTTTCTCACCCAATTGCACATCGCTTTGCTTTTCTCTATCTCTACTTCCCTCTTCCCTTCATTGCTATCTACCCTTTTCCACTTTGCACTAATCCTATTTGAGTATTACTACAAATGAAAGTATTTCTATCTGTTACATAGTTTTACAGGAGAATTCTCATGCTGGTGAAATTTCCAGCAGTAAGTAGTGGCTAATCATCTAGCCATCAACAGCATAGTAGGAGCAGTAGCAGGGCACAGGGGGCCAGATCAGGGGTGATTTATGTTAGCTAATGGTTACATGTGGGCTGGACTCCTGAAGTGCTCTCACCATGTGAATGATACTCTCCATATACAGTCAGTAGACCGCTGCTCAACTTTTCTCAGTTTAATCAAACTCGACACTTCAATGTGTAAATTCCTGAATTATTATTAGAATGTTAGCACCTGTTCCCCCATCATTGGTGTGCAGACACATATAAACATGCAAGCAGGGCGACTGGCCATTAGATTCTATTTCATCACGGTATCTCAATTCCCTTTTAGAAACTGATTATAAAACAGCTGCTTGTGTTGGTTTATTCTAACAAAACAATTGTCTCTGACAAGATGCTGCAAGTTTGTTACCAGCCTTGCTTCTGCAGTGGTTTTAAGGGAGCAAAAGATTCCGGAACATTTCAGAGAGAGAGAGACTGGTAGGAGTTGGGAGAGTGAATAAAGGATATGTCAATGGCCCTCTGCCCCTGTGGGATTAAAAAAAACCCACTGAAATAGCAAGACTCTGGCAAGGATTTTCTATGCAAAAGGTTTTCTTTATCACATATTTCAATCAGATAGCATTTTTACTTCCGTTTCATTGTTTTGTATTTACTGTTCACCTTGAATTGAGTTTATCTTTACAATTTGTTCTGGCTTTGGGAAGGCACAATAAGCTTTATTCTACATATAGTCTTGAACCCTATTTAAGGCACAAATACACAGGAATTTTCCCTCCCTCTTTGATTTACAGGAGGAAAAAGCCCTAAACTGATTACAGATTCATGGACACACACTATCTTATGTCATGAATTGGTTCCCTGCAGTGTTTCATACTGTTACGTAACCAAAAGCAGACAAACTGAATATCAGCTTTGTTCTTCTGTAAAGCTTGGCTCAGAAATCAGGCTATGTAGCTGCTTCCCAATGGCTGTCCCACCCTCCAAAGATGTGCCAACTGAAACCTCGACCAAGATTGTGGGGAGTCCATGCCCCTTCCATGCATTCTTGCTACAGTTTGGTAGAAACTCCCAGCACACAGTGGATTCTAAATTAACCAGTTCTTGGTCTCATTTCTGTCCCTTCCCCCACATTTCTGCTAGTTTTTGGAAGGATTCAGAAATCTCAGCCTCAAAATACTGTACACTGGCAGCTACTGTCACCAATGTTGAGATGTTCTGAAGAGTTACTGGCCTCTCGCCATCAGATCTAATTTAAGTCTTGCTGAGCCATACACCTAAGCTTTATAAAACTGGTACAATGCAAGTACCACATAATAAAAGGCCTGTCCATACATTCCGTGCTTCTCAGATGTCACAGGCTGTTGCCAGGACCTCCAACATTGCTACATTCCTCTTCAGTTAGCTCACTGCAATAGACACGTGATCATTTAGGTTAGAAGGTAAAAGCCACTGCTGATGGAAACCAAATTGTAACCCAATTATCTCGAGGAGAACAGTGTGATTTCCGTCATCAGTCAGATCTCTTTTTATTCAACTTTGCTGCTGTGTTTCGCGTCTCACTCACTTGGAAATGCATCTGTCAGAAGGTGTGGAAAACAGCCAAGATTTTTGTTAGAAAGTGCTTCGCGAGATACAGAATAAAAACTTCCTCTTTCAGAAAAAGAAAACTTTACGCTGTGATTCGCTCACAAGTTCACCAACACAAGGCCCAGCGAATAAAGCTATATATAGTCTCTGTCCATAACTGAAAGAACAACTCATGTAGTGTCATTACCTTCAAACCACCTCCGACCCAACTCATCCATTACTAATTGCCAAAAGCTATTGATTTTTGGCCCAAATTCAAAAACCTTGCCAATGGATTAAAAAAAAAAAAGATGCGAGGACTGATGAGGCTAAAACAATGCTTATTTGGGAGGTCTAGACTGCATGTTTGAATCTGTTCAAAACATACTAATGGGAAACTGTGGCTGACTCTGTGCAACCATTTGGATACACGGCTTTTTATCTTTTGATCTCCTCAGATGAATACCTGGCAGCAAATTAAATTTAAAAAAAAATTCTACACAGCATTTACCTAATAACGACGATGCTGATAGCAGTATCTCCAGCTGCTGCGGGACCATTGTAAATTACATCAGACGGATTTGCACAGTTTAGAGTGGCATTCCAACCCAGGGCAAGAGACAGAAAGAAAAGGGTGTATCCCCCCTCACTATAATTTGGTACTCCACACCCTTCTCTTCACCTCCCCTTCCCCTGTAACCCTCTCCCTCAAATAATGGTGTTTTGAACCCGACATCCCAGCATCTTCTCTCCTTCATTGAGGTCCCCGATTCCTCCCTAATCAAAAGCTCCTACTCATCTCTACTTCCTGCTTCCATGATCTTCTCCTTGGGATTCACTTGTAGTTCCTAGCAACAGCCTCTACTACATTCGTGGATTG